AAAATATTTTGGAAATTAAAAAAAAAATAAAATTGAATCTCGTTATCTATTAAGTAAATTTCTTACTTCAAAATTTAGGGGGCATCCCTATTCCGAAATACGCTAGAATCAAAGGTATATATCTTGAGCGGATATGTCTACATAAACAACTGCTGATTGAAATTAACAAAATAAAAAAATTTATTACTTAGAAACGTGGCAACCCTGATGGAAAATATTTTCTGGCCAAAGTTTTCAACAATACCTTTCATTTGATATCCATTTTGCGATGGTTTAGAAAAAATTGTGTAGAATCGAATATAAGTGGCAACCTTACTCTATTATCCTAAGCGATTACATTTTGCATATAGGGGAAGCATTGTCTAAGAACCTCTTCCTGGTACCCATGAACAGTACTATTTTACCTCTTTCTAAATAAAAAATTAAATAAATATGTGATTCAAAATAAATGGCAACCCTATTAAAAATATTTTTGAATTAGGGATCTTTAAAATACCTTCAATTTGCTACCCATATAACTAATTCCGAATAGGTGGCAACCTTATACGAGTCTTCTCGGAGGTAACCCTAGAATCCAACACATTATCTGTGTACAAAATTTCATCAAAATCGTTAGAGCCGTTTCCGAGAACCCTTTGGATATATGTATATTAGACTGCATTACCAAAAAAAGTTGCGGTTTGCGGTGGCGCTGCACGAGGACCCGGGTAACCCTAGGATGTGTTTTTACATTGTGGGTATCAAATCAAAGCTACTGATGAGTGCTTTAATACAGAGTCTTTTTTAGATCTCTGAGTGACCAGGGTCTCGAGATATAGCCGAAAAGGTGGACCAAGGTACCCTTGGATGTGTTTGTACAATATGGGTATCAGATGGAAGCTGTTGATGAAAGCTTTTAAGTGAAGTAATTTTTACTGCCCGTTTCCGGGATAAAGAAAGGAGATGGAGCTGGAGATGGAAGAGGAAAAGGAATAGCTACGAAGGAAGAGGAAGAGGAAGAGGAAGAGGAAGAGGAAGAGGAAGAGGAAGAGGAGAGAGAAAGAGGAAGAGGAAGAGGAAGAGGAAGAGGAAGAGGAAAGAAGAAAGAGGAAGAGGAAGAGGAAGAGGAAGAGGAAGAGGAAGAGGAAGAGGAAGAGGAAGAGGAAGAGGAAGAGGAAGAGGAAGAGGAAGAGGAAGAGGAAGAGGAAGAGGAAGACCACTTATTATTAAAAATAAAAAAAAAAATTCTAAAAAAATTTTAAAATGTTACATATACGCTTATTATATAAACGTTAATCTGAAGTCAGTTATAGTGAAAAATTCATTGTATCATTACCGGCGTGATTGGTGATCGTTTCCTTAATTTTTTGCAGAAAGGTTATGCTAATATGAGATATTACCTATATCATTCATATATTTACGTATTACCTGTGTACTCACAAATATACGGTTGAAGCAAATATATGTCAGTTTTTTTACTTCGCCTGGAAAAGTTTATATAAATTTAAGAAGAGTAAATAGAACTTATTTTATATCAGACTTCACGCAAAAAAGTCATTTGCACCTGAACACATAGCTGGGTTAAAGCGAAGGGGAATAGAACAGTTCTCTTCTCCTTCTCCGCTTTTTCGTACACGACGAAGTGTATGTATCATACGATTGATGTTGTTGTTTATGTGTAAAGGGGAGCGCATCTATGCAAATGCAGAACGGAACAACGACGCGCTCAAACTTTCTTTCTGATCTGATTTTCAAGCAAACAACAAGTGAGTTTTTTTCTCCAGAGAAAACCACGCGAATACCAATGATACCATCGCATATGCCGTTTGAATTCAAACGTCTTCAATTTCCTGTTCGCATTGCATTCGCGATTACTATCAATAAGTCACAAGGCCAAACTTTATCAATTTGTGGTATTGATTTAGAATACCCATGTTTTTCTCATGGCCAACTTTATGTTTCATGCTCAAGAGTTGGTAAGCCATCGGTATTGTTCATTTATTCAACAACGCATGGAAAAACGAAGAATATTGTATACCAAAGAGCACTACAATAAAAAAAGTATAAAGTAAATCACATCAAACGTTTTTTAATTGCTACTACTATTCAAAACTTCTTTCATTACTATTCATTCGCGAGAATTTTTATAAAAAACACACAGTATTTTTCGGCTTAATTTAATTAATTAATCTAGATTTTTTTAAAGACGACCAGCGGAACGGGCGGGTTTTCGCTAGTTTATTATATTTTAAGACGTTCACCACAATATTTGGGAAAAATATTAAGATTTAAGTGAGCTGCACCGATTTGAAAATACCTCCAAAAATGGAGTGTTTTATGAATAAAAATAGTTTCGTAAATAACTTTTTGAAAAAAGTCCCCTCAGATGACAAAACAGATTAAGGTTAAAAAAATTTGCATAAAAATATTTTAAAATCTTTTCAACGGAATCGTAAGAATGAGATTTTTAATGCTGTTTTTTTACTTTTTTCAAAGATTGATTTAAGAAAAACTTGAATAACAGGGCCAAAACTATTCTGATTTAGACTTATGGGATCTCGGTAGAAAGGTATTTTCACACTGTTTTTATTTCTGTCCAAAAAAATATCATTCGTATCGCATTTTTTTTTCAAATACCAACACATCTTAATTCAACTTTGAATGACGTTCGTTCATCCTACCTTTATCTTTCATCCTTTGAATGAGTTTATTAGCAAAGAAATAAAAAGGGTGCCTTTCCACCGACACCTCTTAAGTCTAAATCAGAAGAGTTTAGGCTCAGTTATTCAAGTTTTTCTTATACCAATCTTTGAAAAAAGTTAAAAAACAGCATCAAAAATCTCATCATTACGATTCCGTTCAAATTTTTTTTTAAATTTTTTTTAAATATTTTTGTGCAAATTTTTTAAGCTTAAACCGTTTTGTCATTTAAGGGGATTTAAAAAAAAAAATTTAAGAAACTATTTTTATTCATAAAAAACTCCATTTTTGGAGGTATTTTGAAATTGGTCCAGCTCACTTAAATCTTAATATTTTTTCGAAATATTTTGGTAGACTTCTTAAAATATAATAGATTTTATAATTCCAATGGAAAAATAGTACCGATTTTTTTTTTTTTTGTATGGGGAGTGATGCAGTCTAATGTATAGATATACATATATACAAGAATTGCTCGTTTAATGTAATTAGCTATGTATGTCAGTATTTGTTCAACATAGCGTATGAGTAACAAATTTATTTATTCATGTTAACAAGTGTTAATTCACCAAGAAAATGTATTGAAAATTACAAAACAGTACATTAATATAAAGGACACTAAAAATTGCAATTAGCATATAGTTATGAGCAAGATGGCATTGGCAATCCAATGAACAAAATGAAAATAAATTTATCAAAATAAGAGCACCCCTAATGTATGAATTTTTACAAATGGTATATGTATCTATATACATATATGTACACGTGCATACCCATAGCTTGCAAGAGCTTACACATGCTTGTTTTCCCATTGTAGGGAATTGCTAATGGATATGACTGCACGGGTACTCCAACAGCCACACATGCGTGTAAAAGCCAACTCCATCAGCACATCAGTTTTACCAACTGCTTGGGGTTATACTGATTTCTCCGAAAACTCAAGCATATATACATACAAGCACTCAATCAAACTCGCATTGTATAACTTGGTGATGATAACAGACATATGTATGTACGCATACGCTGTTACATAAATCACTGTTCAAGGATGTGTCGTTGACTTTAAAACGATTGACAGGCTCCTAATTAATTTTTGGGTTCTTCAAATTGGGTGGTTGTGTGATGGGCTGATGTAAACCTTTCGCTGGATTTAATGGAAATGGTGATAGCGACATCAAGGTCAGCTGTAACTACTATTGCATGGGAACAATTCATCAGCATATTTTGTGCAGACACTGAAAACGTTGGCCGTTTTCATTAGATTTGTAGTTGTTTGTTAGAATTTTTGATACTAATTAAACAATAACAGCCATGAAATTGGTATTAAAAATATAGAAATGAAGCATTCTCAGGCAAAACAGATATAGCCTTTTATTGTCTATCCGAAAAAGAAGCCAAAACACAGCTAAGGACCACTTAAATTTAACAGGGTACAAAAACAACTGTAAACAAATATAGAAATTTTAAGGGAACATTTTTATCGTAATTTTCAACCAATTTTGAAACCAAGATCTACAAAAGAATGCCTCGGTTTTGAAATCGGTTCTGTAGGTGGCCAAAATTCCTGCTAGCGTATTTATATATATATATGTGATTAAGTCATGGCGGTCTTGAAACAATTTGTTCCTTTTGTCCTTAACAAATCGACTTGGAAAATCAATTTCGATTTTTGTTGAAGCAACAGGTAAATATAACAGGTCCTTCAGCTATGCCTTCATTACTTTAAAGCGCTTTCTACATTTCTCAAGAAAAATCACAAGAAATATTCTTCATTATTTCTGTTGCATGAAAAAGTGCTTTGCTGTTGCTGTAAATTTTCTTGAAGAAATAATGTTTCGAATTTAGGACAGGTATTTTCGATGTACCGTTAGCAATCTTAGTCCCAGAATTTAAAGGTGCTTCGGAAATGAAGGAAACAGACGCTGTCCCTCTTCTTATTCTCACAAGCTTAGGATAATCTCAAGTAGCTACAATGCAGACAATCTTTGAAGCGCTGGCAATCACTCCCGATCGGTGCAGCATTTCAAAAAATTTTGCCTCAGTAAATGCAATTTCTATCCATACTTTCTCAATTCGTGCTATGTTTGTGTAAATAAGCTTACTTTTTTTTTAAATCTTTAAATGGCCAACAATTAAACAAATAAAGGTGTATATTGAAAGAGCGCACAGAATTTTTTATTTTTCTTTTGTAATTTTTGAAAAAGTTAAAAAGAGTTTCACAGTTATATTTTAATACTCTGAGGAATGTAGGTATTTATGAAAGTTTGGCACAATAAAGTATGGGCTTGGCTTCGCGTTTGCTTGCAAATAAGCATTTCCTTTACCTCCAGCATTGACCGACTCAGCTGAACGTTCGTCTTCTTCTTTTTGCTCTGGTCTTGGTTGTCTATGTGGAAGATGTGGTACAAAAGCAAGATGATGTAGCCATGATTCTCGTACGGATTCTTCGGACTCTTGCTCCGACGCTGGCTGAGGCTCCAATTCAGGTTTTGGTTGTCTCTGTGGACGACTCTGCCATAAATTGCGTCCAGGCTCTTGTTCGGATTGTTGCTCTGGTTCTGGTTGTGGTTGAGGTTTAAGATGGCCCTGCGGGCGGTTTTGCCATGGATTGCGGACAGCTTCTAGCTCTGAATCCACTGGTGCTTCTGGTTCTGGTTCTGGCGCCGGTTTTGGCTGGCTATTTGGGCGACTTTGCCATGGATTGCTAACAGGCTCCTGCTTAGGCTTCGATTCGGGTTCGTGCTCGGGTTTTTCCTGTGGCCTTGGACGCAAACGATTCAAAATAGCTTGGGCAATGAGATCGAGCTCCCGTTTTTGCTCCCGTTTTACATTATCCTCTTCCTCAGGTAGTTGCTCTGGGCTAGGTTGAGGTTGAGTTTCGGGCTGCGGCTGCCGTTTGGGGTGGGCAACATTGAATGATGGTCCTGCTAGACCGGCCAAACCGATAGAGTTAGCATTGGCTACACAAGCCAGAGCTAGAAATGTGAGAACAATTGCAGTTTTCATGATCTTCTGAGTGTACAAATTCGGAAACTGTGCTTTTTCGTTGGCAAATACAAGGCCTTAAATACGTTCTATGCTGGATAAAAAAATTTGTAAGTGCATTGATAAGCTCTGGTATATTTTCCCTAACAACACAAAATGAGGAAAATAACAGTAATTAATTAATGTGAAGATTAAGTGATAAACAAATCAATAACAGGAATGATATTTGCGTTGTTTAAATACTAATTATTGCTGTTTTTTCGAGCTTGTTTGATTAGATAATATACCTTTGACTCATACACATTATCTCTTACCGATTGTTTATTGCCTAGCAAGTAAGATAATTTGCGGGAACATTTTAATAGCTGTGCGAGTATGTGCATAAATACTAAAGGGAAATTAAAAATTATTTAAAAAGTGGCTTTGTAACGGAAGCATCAAAAAAAGGCAGCTCATTTGCTGTATCTTTATTGGAGAAGAGAATGAATAGAACGCCAAAAACTAGCCGCGTAAGTGTTGGGCTTTAGCCCATCTAAATCTCCTACTGAACACCTCAGGACTTGCTTCTGCATTAGGCTACATAGGTTATGTTAGGAAGCCGGGCATGATCTCCCCATACGTCCCCTTGAAGGCATATTTGCCAATTGTGAAGCCATTTACTGTTCCAGATGAGAAGGTTCGATAGTTTCACTTACGTTTTCTTCTCTGTCAATCTAATGAAAAAGGAAGAACCAAACTACTTGAATCTCTTTGCCTGGAGAGATAGGCACTAGCACGGGAAGTGGTGGGCCGGTTCCTCCTCTTTTTCATTCTGCCAACTTTTGCAGGAAACGAGAAAGTTCTAAAGCTCGTTTCTTGTTAAGACCCCACAACCATGCCGTGACAAAGTGCGTAATTTGGGTTAGTTAGGCAAAGGAAAATAATAGCAGCCACAATTTCGACTCTATAAATTTTTATTTTTGCGTTATGTACTGTCTGGCAACTCCAAACTTGCACTTTTTATACTAAATATAAAGGGCTATAAAATGGCATACTTAGAGTTTTTCTAAAAAAGCTGAATAGAAGGTAGCAAATGAGTATGCAATTTTATTGAATTTTTCTGAGTTTTGCACGAAGTTTAGAGATTTTATTTGTATGTTTTTTTTCGTACATTATGAACTTTATTTTTTATAATAAATTGACGAAAAGAAACTAGAATAAAAAACTTTGCATGTATTGCGAAAAATTCTCTTTGCAAATACTTTTGTTTGCCACTGTATGTAATAAGAAATACGTATAGCTAAAAAAATGCAACCACTAGCTGACGCTTCCGTCGAAATATTAATTGATATCACTCGATTTCTAATACATATCTTTGCACAATTTTTTTCGGCAAGCGTGTGATAACAGCCGCATCTTTCGCTCGCGCCACGAACCCGCCATTCACCTACATATAATGGAAAAGTTCTCTATTTATATGAGTTCTTGCTGCCATGCTTAAAAATTAGAAAATAAACCCAAATAAAAAAAATTTGCCATCAAATATATAGAAAAAACCGGACCTTTTTATTACAGCTTGACTTTAAATCGGCTTTTTTTTTAAATTGTGAACTTTGTGTAACTGTTTCAATAGATTTTTAGAATAATTTTATATTTTCATCAGGCTGTTCGGTCCTAAAAACTTCCAGATCGTGACATAGTAGACCCTTAACTAATATAATACCATACAGGATAATAGTGACATTCGAATTATATCAAATGGCAGAGTTTTATTTTGCCAAACGAAAGATTACCCTGTATAAAAGTGTAATACATTATTTGGGTAGGAAATATATTACCACCCAGTAGATCTTCAAACTAAAAAGTATATACTAAGTACTATTATTTATTTAAATTCAGCGAGTGTCTCCTAGCCAGACGATTTTGCTGGAATAATGCCTTACAATTTATACATACACAACTTACGACAATAACACAATTTGTCAAAAAAAAAAAAAATTATCTAAAAATCAACGCGATTTTTAAATTATAAATTTTCATTCAGATTAAAAAGTTCAAAAACTTGATGAAAAGTTGTGGAATTTTTCCGAATTATCTGAAAAATGTGAAAGTTTGTCTTATGTGATTTTGGTTAAAGCATGAACCATATTTTTATAAAAAATACCAAAAAAATTTTAACTTGAAAAACATTGAAAATATTCAAGAAGAATCACCATGTGCTCACTTTTGATCGCCAGTGTACATGTACATACATATGTATGTAGTTGCTCAACCCAAACCAAGTAGGAGATGATGAGTTTGTCGGAAGTTCTCGTAAATAACTTTTTTCTATTTTCTAAACAATATAAGTATGTACTTATTCCACACATTTCCCCGGAAAATTAAGCCTTAAACGTATCGGGCTAAAACGATTAAACATTTTATTGGATTTATAATCAAGTAACCAGTCATACTAAAATTCGAAGTTTATTAAAAGTAGAATATATTCTGTAACACTTGCAGCTGCATATAAAATGGCATATGAGTATGTTTCCAATATGGAGAATGTACATTGTACATACATTGTAGATTAATTTTTTTTTATATAATCTATACATATTTACACCGCAAAACTATTTTAAAAGCTGTTTTGCAACGCGACAAACCAGTAAGCGGTATTGTGGCCTTTCAACTTTTGTAACTGTTGTTGTTAATGACGCCTCGCCACTGCAATAACGCCGAAAGCACATTCGCGAAAGGAAACTCATAAATTGTTTACAAGCTACTGGCAACAAGGCGCCCCAATAAGCAACGCNCCAGCGGGATATGCAGTTGAGCATAAAATTTCCCATATACATACTCGTGCTTACATATGCACATTAGAGTGGTCGAAAAAAATAAAATCGGAATTTTAATGCCGCCACCCCCTTGGATTGTTCCATACCGAAAAAATTAACCCCTATTTATTTTATTTTCAATCAAAGCGCTCAAAGTTTTCCATATTTTATATGAGGAAAAAAACTTTTCGTAGAAATGGTATAAATTGGGGGCCCATTGCATCTCGTCGGGGTGTTGGCGGACCTATAAAATATAGTTACCATAAAAAAATGGTTAAAGAAACAATTGGGTATTATTATTGCGAATCTCCTGAATAGGAACCGAGTTTTCCGAGCTAAAAATATTAATTTTCAAGAATTCTACGAAAAGTTGTTTTTTCCCCATATGAAATACATGAAAAACTTTGAGCGCTTTGAGCACTGCCTATTTTTTGTTTTTTTAATAAAAAATAGGGGTATATGTTTTAAGGTATATAACAATCTTAGGGGCTGGCGGCATTAAAGTTCCGACTTTACTTTTCCACATGCAGTTTCGGACCACTCTAATGCACCTGCATAGGGAAAACTTTGTAGGTAAGTAGGTATTGAATAAGTAAAAAGTCTACTCCGATGCTACCACTTTGCTTGTGCAGTGGGGTGCAGTGTTTTTCAGTTTATAAGTAGTTGTTGTAGCTGTTATTATTATTGCCAAATATTTCATAGCTGACACTTAGCAACCAAATTGGGTGTCGCTTACTTAGCGTGCTACTTTTGTTAGCTTTGCGGATATTGGAATATTATGGGTTGTAGGATGAAACTTTTCATGCTGCGTGCCCTGGTCAAAAGCATCAGGCGTCTTGTTGTTTCTGATATTCCTTATGCTGAAATATGAATTAATGGGTTATTATTAGTAAATTCAATGCAAGTAAAGCGATTAGTATGTAGGTAAGAGAGTTGCCACTTGTTTCAAATCAATAAATATTAAAATAAGCTTTAAGAAGGTTATCAAGTGTTCAAACAGTGAAAATCAGTTTAACTACAAGTTAAATGAAATATTGTGAAAAATATACGAAAGCTTTATTTGAAAAATGTTTTTAAAGAAGGCTGCCATCTGTTTGGAAATGGAAATTCAATTTAATTAACAAGTTAAGCGAGAGATGTTTAAGAAAACTCAGCTTATTTTGAAAATATTTTTGATGAGGTGAGCTTAGGAATTTAAGTTCAGTTAAATTGACAAGCCAAAAATAAATCGTACCAATGTTATAAATGTGAAGGATTATGAGTGAGAGTATGAATATGTCCGTTGCTCTTTCTGTCCACCAAAAGTAGCATACCAATAGCTTGTGAGCTGGATTAATATATAGCATGTTTTTTGAAGAGGGTTGCCACCTGCTTAAAAAGTAAGGTTTTATTTTATATTATTAGTTCAGCGAAATTTTATAACATGTATGCCAAAAGAAAAAGACGTTTACAAATGTTTTAGTACAAAAATCATTTTAAGACGATTGTCACCTATTTAAAAATTTGAATTTAATTTTATTAGTAAGTACAAAATGGGTTGCAAACGAATGAAGATTAAGCAAGCCTTATTTTGAAAATATTTTGGTAAGTGTTGCCACCTGTTTAAAAGTCAAACCCCATTTTTCCATAAGTTAATAAAATATTACAATATTGATATTGATCGAAAATGGTATGAGAAAGCATTCTTTCGAAAATAGAGGGTTGCCACCGGTTTAAAAGACAATTTAAATTAAATCAACTACAAAATGATCCAAGGATCAGGGAGTAAATTTTTTATTTCTTAACCATCCCTAGTCTGACTTAACGTGATTGATAACTTAAATTCTTAAAATGGATACCGAACAACTCGGAAAACTTATGGCGTTTTCTTTTCTATCGAAAATTTGTTTGAAAATGCAACATTTTTGTAGAAAAGAAAACGACATTAGTTTTCCCATAGAATAGACCGCTCAACATAATTGGCCACCTGCGAGGTGAAAAGCACACGGGTGAAAAGCACACGAATTTAATTTAACGTTTAATAGACGTTTTTACCTTAAGGCTAAAGGCAGTACCATAACTATAGAAAGAAGTTGCTAAGAGACTTTGTGGCCTAAAAACCTCTTCCACTAAATTATATATTTTAATTTTTTATTAATTCTAAAGTTAATACTAAAAGATTTAAATAAATTCAAATACTGGCCATTGCGCGATCG